ACTGAATAACAAGGGGAGTACTGGCACCTGATACTGAATAAAAAGGGGACTACTGGCACTTGAAACTGAATTACAAGGGGAGTACTGGCACCTGATACTGATTAAAAAGGGGAGTACTGGAACCTGTTGCTGAATAATAAGGGGAGTACTGGCACCTAATGCTGAATAACAAGGGGAGTACCGGCACCTGATACTGAATAACAAGGGGAGTACTGGCACCTGATACTGAATAAAAAGGGGACTACTGGCACTTGAAACTGAATTACAAGGGGAGTACTGGCACCTGATACTGAATTACAAGGGGAGTACTGGAACCTGTTGCTGAATAATAAGGGGAGTACTGGCACCTGAAACTGAATAACAAGGGGAGTACTGGCACCTGATACTGAATAACAAGGGGAGTACTGGAACCTGTTGCTGAATAATAAGGGGAGTACTGGCACCTGATACTGAATAACAACGGGAGTTTTGTTACTGATACACAAGCATTCAATGACATTGCATAAAATCCATGGATTCTTTTCTCACTCAAACTTCGCCACCAATAAAACTGTACCTATTTCTATTGTTTAAAAACAGTTAAAAATACGTTTTAAACTAAATTATTGCATTTTTCTATATTTCTACAGTAATGATACTGAAATATAGTGAAAATCTAAACAAAACATATATGATAAGATGAAAGAAAAACTAACCCAAACAAAGTGGATTCTCATTATCATCCATAAATCTTTGGAATGATCAAAGGATCAAATAAAAGATGTTTCTAGATGAAGAACAATGACAGTGAGATAGAAGATGGAAAGGGAGAAATGTAAATGGTTATGAGCAACAGCTGATGTTCCTGCCCAGAGAGGGCCAAGATCACAAGGTGTGTGGCATTATCCAATGGTGGTTTTACGTTGCATGAATCAGAAACTGGCCAATACGACATAGTTCCTTGATGACCTAAATGGAACACTTCTACCGACAGGGGAGTAAAGGCAAGTAACAAAAATGTGTCAGTCTCGTGCAATGCTAAGAATGCTAAGATACTGTCACAGATGTATCGCCAGAGAAGACATTAGATGTGATATGGATGAGAACGTGACCACCTCCAACCTTGGCCAAAAAAACTCTAAGTATTTCATTTTGATAACTCCAGTTGCATAGCATGATTACTCTTCCTAACAGATGCAAACGCAAAAGGGGAAATGTTACGACCATAAAAATAACACGTAGTAATTAATATCATATCACTCCATTCTTTAAGTCTTCAGATCATCATCATCTTCGTCAGTGTCGTATCTATCTTATAGTTGTTCGGTTTATGTAATATATTTCACTCGCCAAAAACGAGACCACAGTACCAAAACACTGGTATTATCAACGTCATTACTATTATAAGAAGTAGAAGCCTTACTTCTAGAAAATATACAACCCACTAAACTCCAAGAAGGGAAGGGTTACTGCAGTTCATACGCTTATTGGAATCCAGATAATCGATAAAGGTGAACTGTATTAATTCGGACGCAACGAATAAATCTTTATAAAGGGCGACTTTAAAATACACAGAATTTGACATTTCATGCTACATGTGAATAGACTTCTGGCATAAATCGGTAGTTTGAATGCAGGTCATCTGTCACAGCACGCATGTACAATAAATCTCATTATAAGTCTGGAAAGAAAATATAAAAGAAAAAACCTGTATATTGTAAATATTATTCCACTTTTGTAAAGAACATTTTGTAATATTCCCTCAGTTTCTCTACAAAACAAATATTAATAGCAACACCCGTCTCTAAATTATTGCATACGTGTCCATAACCCTAACTTCCCGTTCTTCCACACCTGTTCGTTAATATTTCTTTAGATATATATCTCTTGTTCGTTATTTCTTACCATGATGATGGAGTTCGTGACCGCGGTATTATTCACTGAAAAGGCTGCCATAAGACAAGCCATTTTTTTAGCGCATGTCATCAAGTTTTTTTTTTCTTCCCAGCAGCTCCCGCAGCATCTGTTCCTGAGTTTCTGAGTATTTTTTTCCCTGCTGAATATCCGGTCGTTTTTGACTGTCTCCCGTCTTTCCTACGGGGAGCATGAACTCATTATGTTATTGTTTACATGCACACAACCCCCTTTCTTGGGATGTACTTTGATATAACACACTATCCTGCCATGAACTGTGTTTTGGAAAACCAAAGGAGGGGCTAAGACAACGCAGGTCTTTCCTTTCTTCTAATGTTGAAGGCAGTGAACCACTGGATGTTTCGTAACACCTTGACTGTAGTAGCCATTATTCGCATCTTGATTATCATTTTGAAAAACCCGAGTTGGTTGGAACGAAAACCAGTAAAGGTGTCCACACATATAAGTCTGAGATCCAATGCACTGAATATTTTAATGTGCCATTAATTTATTCGGTAAATAATCATGTGATAAATAATCAAAGAAGGAATATGGAGATACTACTTATATGAGAAACTTAATATTCCCTTGAAATGACATACATGCTTAAATTCTGCCTTTGCAATAATAAATGAGGACAGTATCTTGCTTAGAGAGAAATTTAGGAACTAAACGAGTGTTCATATATGGGCTAAAGGGCTCTGACGAAATGAAATTATTCGTACGCTGGTTATCATTCCTAATGAATTAAGTTAATTTAATACGAATTAAAATGTCTCTCAGTCGAATGTCTGACAAGGGCATATCAAAAGGAACCTGTATATAGTAACTGGCAAATTTTATTACAGTTTTTAATATAACACAGAACCTGGACTCCTTCAAAGCAAATTTGAAGACTTTTTTATTTAGGAAAGCATACAACTGCTGAGATATCATATTTAGTAGTTGTGATATTTTTAGATTTTATGGATGTTTTTAACTTTGTTGTTTTTAATGTGGCACTTTGAGATTTTGTTAATGAAAAGTGCGTTATAAATAAAATGTATTATTATTATTATTATTATTATTATTTTGTAATATTCACAAAACAAATATCAATAGCAAAATCCTTCTCTTTTTTTTAGAGTAATGTTCATATTCCCCCTAGTGGTTAATTGTGAAACTGCCATAATTATACATTATACTTTTCTGCTTAAAGCCTACATGCAAGATTACCATTGTATTTAAGACTCAAAATTTCATTAAAAAATATTTTTTTTAAATACTCCTTTAGCCTCACGACACGTAAAGAAACCGGTCTGTAATGAATATGCTGTCTTTGTTTGTTAGCTATGGATCTGAGGTTTGTAATCCTACCAGGTGGAATTACAGGCTCTTTTGAAAAACCATGAATGCATAGTACAAAGACCGCAGCAAACAACAAAGAACACATTTAAGTTTCCTCAGCCTTCATCGGAAAAAATGTCTTTATCAATCTTGCACAAATTAAAAATGATAAAACTATAGAAAAGACACTCCTATAATAAAAACAAATATTTCGATAAAGCAGGTCATCGTCAGGCCTATTCTTGGAGGCTTTAACCCCCTAAAATATTTTTAAGCCCCTCTCCCCCAAATAAATGTAAATTTATTGGCTTAAGTCATGAAGAGTTTGCCATTAACCCCCCCCCCAGTAAAGACTCACCCCCCATATTCATTCATCTCTAACTATACTCCCCTGCTACAAAGAACATAACTCTGATTTGTCAAAGTTTTGTAGGTAATGCTGTAGGCTTGCGATCTTCCTTGCTTGCACGTCACATTCAGGAAAAGTTTCTGCTAAAGACATGTCAATGTTAAATTTGTTCAATATGTGTGATCAGAAATTTAAAATGAAATAACATATAGAAAAAATTTACATTTATAGGTATTTACTGCCCATTACTAAGGATTAAATACATCGATTACAGAAGAAGAGTATAACTTTGGTAAGACCACACCTTGAATATTGTGTGCAGGTTTGGTCACCATACCTTAAGAAGGACATTGCTGCCTTAGAAAAGGTGCAACGGAGGGTTACGAGAATGATTCCTGGTCTTAGACTTAGAGGAATGTCTTATGAGAGGTTAGCTGAGCTGAATCTGTTTAGTCTTGAGCAAAGGAGACTAAGGGGGGACATGATCCAGGTCTATAAGATTCTAACAGGTCTGGATGCTGTTCATCAAATGGCTATTTCAATATTAGTTTAAATACTAGAACTCGTGGCCATAAGTGGAAATTAGCGAGAGAACATTTTAAAACGAATTTGAGGAAGCACTTCTTTACACAGCGTGTAGTTAAAGTATGGAATAGTCTTCCTGCTAGTGTAGCGCAAGCTAAAACCGTGGGTTCTTTTAAATCAGAGCTAGATAAGATTTTAACAACTCTGAGCTATTAGTTAAGTTCTCCCCAAACGAGCTAAATTCATAGGGCGAAATTCATGTATTTTTATAAAGTATGTTAAGAAAGAAGTATTATTTTTCAGAAATAAAAGAATTATCTACAATGAAAAGCTGAAGGATAGGATGGGTAATGTGTTTGCTTGTTCATTTATGTTAATGCACTGTGCCTGCTCTTCAAAGATGACTCTAGGATTTTGTCCCAGGAGATGCAACGTGAGTGAACCCAACCAGTCAGTCAGCCAAATAAACAAATTTGTAAAACAAGAAGTGAATAAATTAACAATGTATTATAACTTCACATTGGTAGGACTAACATGATCCACGGACGATATGTTGTCAAATATGACACAAATATATTACAGTGGAACTCACTTATAGCGATCACGGTTATAGTGATCAACCGCATATATGGATGAAAAAGTTTGGGAAAGAATCATTCCTACACAAATACTGTTTAAAGACCGGCCAAGATAAGCTGGCGGAAAATGGACGGACGAATGGACGTTTTATGTACCGTTATAGTTACTGTTGTGTAACAGAATATAAAATATAATTTGTCTGTTTAATTAGCCTAAGTCTAACACGGCAAAAACGGCTGGTCTTACGAGATGGTTCCAATGTATGGAATAAGACATACTTTATTAATCCCATGAGGAAAACGCACAGATACAAACACATAGTGCATAACATATTGCAAAAACAGTATACGTAGTGTAAAGTACATACATATCGCTAACAAATGCCTCCTCTGCCTCCCCTCGATGTTTGATGCTGCTACTTGTGCGATTGAAAACTTGGTGTGCTTAAACGATCTCGACCAAAATGAATTTGTAACATTTGTTTTCAAACATTCATTCTGAAACAGACTTTAATTTTAAACATGAAGCGGGGGTTGGGCGCAGTACAGTGAAGCTGGGGGATGTGCGATAAGGTTTTAGCAGTTCTGAGAGCAGTTCTGGTGCTGTGAGGCTGTGTAATAAAGTTTCCGTTCATGTACCCCTGAAATCAGAAATATTTCTATATTGCAAATGGAGAAGAGACCCCAAATTAAGGGCTACAAATCCAGTTAGGCTGCGGGAATTACCCAGCAGGCATTTTGTGTTGTGAACATGCTGTTACAACGTTTTCTCGACATTGAATAACCGTTATCAGAGTGTTGGTTTTGAAAAATGAAATAATTTTTCTATATTACTCCAACATAATTTTTCCATATTGGTCCAATGTTGCTTCAGTGTCGTTTTTCTATGTTGCTCCAACATTGTTTTTTATTTTGTTCAAACTCTGTTTCCTGTGTATTTAAATTATTTAACAGTCAGAGCATTGCTGCATGAGAATGCAAATTTGACAAATGTCCTAACCCCTATAAATATATCAAGCGGGGGAGGGGAAAAAATCACTCATTAGTAACAATTAATGTTCTTTTAATAAGAATTTGTGACTCAACTTTGTTTATACAACAAATTTAATTAAAATTAGTTAATATAAACAATGTAAACAGTGCAACAGTTAAAACAGTAAATGATATAAACAGTGCAGTACCATTAACACTGCCAAAAAAAATTACATGTTGAAATTGGCCGATTAGAATGAGAAGAATTAAGATCTAACATATGCTGTAATAAAGACACTTGGGTTTTTTGCTAACTGGAATTCATTTTGTGTCTGCCACCACCTCCTGCTCTGTTTGGAACAGTAACGAAGGTGATCTCACATGGCATCTTCCACTTCTTTCTCTGATGCTTTGGATGACTTGGGGACGGCCTCTGAAAACAGCACAAAATGATTATTACAGAAATCCATAACTTTTTCAAAGTAGACAAACAGTTACAATTTTAAGCTTTTCCCCTCATGATGATAGTTGTCTGATTCTGAAAGATGCTGACACAATGATACAAAGTTATACAATATCTACAGGCTTTTATAAATTGACAACATTTTGGCACTGAGCATTTTAAGTGCTAAGAACATTATATTCACTTGCATTAATGTGGTAGTTCTTATGCAATTTGCAGTTTTATGATATATTAAAACATACAAGTGCAGAGTCAATACGTTTTTATGACAAAGAAAAATTAAATTAGTATTAGTCCAACTCCAACTGGTCTTTTAAAACACATGTGACATGTTAGTCCAATTGAAATTTCAAAGACAATTTGCTAGTTTGCCCTAACTATGTTTGTCAGTTGTTTTGGTCTGTAACACAATAGGGTAAGCAGAAAAAAGCTCAATACTAACAAGCTGAAAAGAGCTGTAATTGTACATCACCACGTATGGTAGTAAAGTCAACATACATTAAACAATAAAAACAAATGCCCTCTTGTGTTTGTATACTGGGTCAAGTACAGTATTCCAATTAAACGGCATGATATAGTGCATTGCCCCAATGGCATGTAATATGCATACAATGTATTAATTAACTGTTAGAAAGTTATTCTGAAAATCTAAGGCTACGTTCACACTGCAGGCCTTAATGCTCAATTCTGATTTTCTGCTCAGATCTGATTTTTTGTTTGCCTGTTCACATTACTCATTGCCCACATTAAAAAATCAGATTTCAATGTGAACGGTTCACTATACTGAACTGGCCCGCATGCGCACAAAACAACAAAGACGCAATGACGCGCATACGCAAAAACAAAAACGTCACT